AAACAAATGTATCATTTCTTTATATACTCTTTATGAGCCAAGAAAACAATTTTATTATTTTATTTTTATAGTCGTAGACCTGAAGTCAATTTCTAGATGTTTTGCTGCTTTGATTGTTAAACAGGATTTTTTTCTTGCTATCACATGGTCTGATTGGTTATTGTTGCTGTATAGGACCATTATTGATTTTCTATATTGGTATTTATATCCATCCACATTCTTATATTTTCATTTTAATTGTAATAATTCGCCATTATTATTTAGGGGGAGAATTGGAACTATACAACCCTACTATATGTGCAAATAATGAAATGTTAGTAATGACTATGTTTAAAGCTAAATTAAGCAAATCTGGGTATAATCATCCTTCCAGCTCCAACTGGGATATTTCTTTTAAAATATGGACTAAGGCCAATGATAATAACACTTTAATGGCTCTTGATAAGTGTTGCTAAATTATTTTCCAAAGCTTTTCACAGCGTTCAAGTCTTCCAAACAAACAAGGAAGTAATTTCAATCTGTTTTTTAACTGATTTTAAATCGTCAGCGAACCCTTTTCCAGTTTTCTAAGGAGCCTGGCATTCTGTCGGGGTGCCGCAGTTTGTAGGGAGGATTAAATCAGAAAGGGCCCGTGAAGCCCAGCAGGTTGAAGGTGCTTCAGAACTAAGCTCTTAGTTCAAATTGACTAATGCAATCCTTATTTTACTTTGTAGACAACCAATTAGTACAAACTGTGTTATTGCACAGTGTGTGTTTATTGACTCATGAGTGAGCCATCACTGCATCTGGAAAAACTTAACCAGAGACATACCATGTCCTTAAGGAAATTACATTTTAGAATGGAAGCCTCCACTGGGATTTCCTTCTGGTACCGACACTCTGCCAGTGGAAGGGGCAGGATAAACACAGAAGATATCTGAAGGGTGGTGCGTCTGCTTTTGTTCATCATGTGTATGCTAGCCTTGCTCCCACTTCAGTCTGAATCTAGGTGATCATGCACCTGCACTGCAACCAGCTCTTGACTTTACGCAAAGTGTTTCATATAGAAAACAGCGGCTCCAAGTTCAAGAAGAGAGAGAGAGAGATAACTACACTGCTTATTTTTGTGAAGTACAACCTCAACCTGGTACATTCAATATTGTTCCAGAAACAAAAAGTCCTCCACACAGGAGTTTTGTTTGCACTTGTGAAATAACGGCAGCGGACACACACACAAGAGACATGGGGGCCTTGCACTTGTGTTCCAGGAGGGCAGTAGGCATTGAGATGTTTCTCCGGCAATGATGAGCATTTGTCGAGCTGACACACGGAGGTTTCCTGAGACAAGCTTAGAATGATGATGCTAGCGTTTTTAAGAGTTGATTCATGCTCGTCCCAGGAAGCATCACCACACTTGATACCAAGGGCCAATAGAAGAGAGTCATACAAAATTGCTTCTAGCTAGGCTGGGGAACGGATGGTGCACGTTATCAAGAAGATTGATACAGAAGCCAAGAGGATACATGCATACGTGTATATTACTTGGTGGGACAAACCGGGTGAGAAATGAGAAGAGGAACATAGAAGAAGCAGTGAGCTGTGGAACTGACCCAAAGTGTCTCATCAAAATAGTTCATTTTAGGATTTTAGGGCTCTGAAGGTCAAGAGATTCCGGTCTGACTCCTGGCTCTGCCACAAAAAATCGGTTTGATTCTTGACTCTGGCCAAAGCAATGTCTCCAACACTAATAAGTTTCCTCAACTGTGTAATGTGAATAATACGAAGAGTATTTTCTTTCCCATTAAATATTGAATGAGTTCATTGTAAAGTTTCTAGCATACAGCTGGTATATTTGATTTTTTTTTAATTAGAGGCATTGTTCTGATTTTTAAATAGCTTGCAGATTAAGTAGCAGCCTCAAAAACATGACTTTCAGTTGCTTTAAGGATAATGCTGCATTTTTGTCATTGTTATTCTTCCAAGTTTACAGTGAACTCCAGACAAGAGGCCAACAAGTAAAGAGAAAAATATATTAGAGCAGCAGTTGAAAAATCGAATACCTGCAAGGTCCAGGAAGGCAGGGTGAATGAATGAAGCGGTCCCGGTGGGAAATGCGGCCACGCAGAGAGGGCGTGGCCTGTCTTAAAGGAACTGACCCCAGTGCTGCTGAGCTGGGTCCTGCAGGAAAACAGGGTTCCTGTTAACAGAGCTTCTGATTTTTTTCAATGGAAGACTTATTAGAAGTCTTAAAATAGTTTATGTTTTCAAAACATTGGCAACTAATTAAATACAGGGTAGGTGGAAAATGTGTGACTAAAGATTGCGTGTATGTGAGTGCAGGTGTGAGGTTTGAGGGATGGGGTAGGGTGAGCCGTGGGGAGATGTGCTTTGTGTAACATCCCACCTAAATGCAAAGTCCAAGGGGAGGTCCAAAGTCAAGAGAGACCATGGGGCGCTGGGGGGCCATTAATAGTTTTGAAAGCCTGACGCACCGATGTCAGGGCAGAAAGCGCACAAGGAGGAGAATGAAGAGCTAAGTGGAGGCTTGATCTCTCCTGCTGTAACAGCTGTGCTAACAATTGAGCTTAATCTTCAGGACAACGACCAGTCTCTGAAGGGCAACGAACAGGAAGAGCAGAATCCAGTTTTTGCATTTGGTTGATCTGCCTGATTGCAAAGCGGCCCATGGATGGAAGGAGTCAGGGTTGAGGCGGGGGAAGATCTGCTGGAAGGGGGTTCCATGGATTCAGGTGGGGATGAGAGGAGTTCAAGATGGCAGCCCTTGGTGTGGAAAGAAGCAGATGGATCCAGAGATAATGGGGAGACCACATCCACAGGACAGGCTTGGGGAGGAGGGCTGGGAGTGAGGGCGGGGAGGGGAGATTGTGGCCGCACATCTCTGTACAGAATTCAAGTTTCATAGAAGATTCACTCCTCCACCAACACTCCATGCACAGTTGGTAACGTTGTCAGAAGACGGAGACCAGCAATGCCCTGATGGGATGAGTGTGGGTGGGAGGGGAGCATCTTTATAGAACTATTCTGTTCTTAGTCTACAGTATTACCTCTCTGTGAAGAAAAAGGGAGCCTGACTTCTAGTTTTTCTCCCTCTTCAAGAATAAACAGCAATCAGGTGAAAACTGAAATTTAGTTCATTGGGCAACTGAATTCGTATTTCCTGTGTTGTTGTGTTTTATCAGCATCTAAGAGTGAACTGATCCCCTTGTCTGGGGTCACTCTCACCATACTCTGCATGTCTCAAACCTCAAGGAGTGCATTTCTGCTGGAGAAACAGCCCAGCCACCTTCTTCTCCATTTATAACCGTGTTGACTAAGTCACACTCAAGAAAATGTGCAATAAATCTCAAATTCTCTGCCTAGAAGAGAAATGCCATGAACAAGATGCATAAAGAATTATTCAATTCCACCACAGGGGGTGACTGCAAAATAAGGGGAAATAAAACAAAGCATTTGACTACATAAATCCTCCTCTCTTTGTTCTATACAGTCTCTAGGAAAGAAATCATGAACCTCTCTCTATGATCTGTGGTATTTATAATTGATTTATCTTGTGGTTAAAAGGAGATTTACTCACTAAAATTGAGACAGACAGGAGAAAGCAATTTGGGTTTGACCTTCTGGCCTGCTTGGGTATCACTTATCAGAACTGAAAATAGAGTGGAGTTTTATCACTACTCTAGAATAAGAGACTAGATTAATCCTTTAGGAACATCCTGTCTTAGTCTCTTAGATGCAGCCAGTGATGGCCGTACATATATTTATGGGTCCGATGACCTGGTGTGATTCAAGGAAGTCAGAATTCTCCCTTCTTCCAACACTATTTTTAATGATTATCTTGTCCGCCCGTCCAGGCAGACAAATGCCAGAATTTTTTTAGGTTACATATTCATTTATTTGATGTACAGTTTTGTTCCTTGTTTAATGTGATGCTGCAGGTCAGAATAACACATTTGGAATTCACATCTGTATCCACCCTGATGGGAATATACTTTTATCTGGTCGTTTACTAGATCAAGATTTAATGAAATTGCAGCTCAAGGGACTACAACTGACTGGCTCAGAAAGGAGAGGTGATACACACAGTAACAAATGGCACATGAGCCCCGCCCTTTCTGTTTCCCGACACACCTTTCCTGGTCCATGAGGACACTTTGTAGAGTTTGAAGACCTGAGAGTGTCTTCCATTTATCGACTTGTATGGACTTGAGCCCAAAGCATCACATTTGTGTCTTTTTAAGGGCACGCTGGCCCTGTGTTTTCTCTGGGATCTCCCAGAATTCTTGACACCAAAAAATATCTGTGGGTGGGATTTAGCTTAATTATTGGCTGCTGTCTCTCAGTACACATGGTTTTAATATCCTCTGATGCAGGCTGCTAGAATCCTAGATTTCCAATGATGACTAAACACTCTGTCCCTGAATCTCCTCTGCTCTTGAATAATTTGCACTGATCATTATGAATTCCTCTAAAACCTTCAAAATGTACCCTAAGCAGAAAGTTGGGTGGCCGTTCTATTCTATATTCCAGATGGAGAGTTTTATTTTCCAGCTAATAATTTGAGGGTATTAACTAGGATTTATATATATATATATATATATATATATGTGTATATATACACAACACACACACACACACACACAACCTAGTGGTTCTAGTCATCTTGAGGGCTCAAGCAAAGGGATAGTGAGGAACAATGACTAAGGATGTACCACAATCCACCCCCCAATCCTTTTCCCCTTTTGTAGCCATGGTTTCAGACATAGAAACTTCATCTTTTTTTTTTTGGTGGAGGTTTGCATTTTCCATCCCAGAAATACGTGCCTTTTCCCCAAGTTCTTTGAATTCCAAATTCTCCCTGGAAACTTTAGCGAAAAAGCTCAACACCACGTGCCAACAGAACAATGGTTAACTCTTACTACTGCTGATATGAAACCACAAATTCTGAACCCTGTGCCTTATATTTATACATGCACTTTTTCCTTTTATCTTTCACGGCTTAGGGGGGACATCATCGAGACAGAAAGGCTTCCTAGGGTGCATACGCTCTCTCCACTTGAATGGGCAGAAACTGGACCTGGAGGAGAGGGCGAAGGTCACGTCCGGAGTCCGGCCGGGCTGCCCAGGCCACTGCAGCAGTTACGGCAGCATCTGCCACAACGGGGGCAAGTGCGTGGAGAAGCACAGTGGCTACTTCTGTGACTGCACCAACTCACCGTACGAAGGGCCCTTTTGCAAAAAAGGTACAGTTG